CTGCTTGTACACTCTGGCGATCTACGGCCAAATCCAATGGAGTCTGTATAGATGTATGAGCTTATTGTATATTGTGTGTGTACACGTTTGCATAGTATTACCATCTCGTCTCCATTTTTTATGTCTGATTTGGCGTGTCTCTTCAACAGCGCGAGAACAAGTCGAACATTGTTGTTGGCAGCCGCATAATGAAGTGCTGTCCAGCCATTAGCATCTTGTTGGTTAATGTCACTCAGCCTTTGCAGTAAGAACTCTACTGTAACCTCGTCATCTTTGTCTACCATCTTGTGCAGTGCAGATCTTGACTCATCTTCCGGGTTTTTGTAATCTACATGAGCTCCCTGTGCGAGCCTTTTCAGGGCACTGTCTAATTCTCCCTCGATGATAGCATTCCAAAATTCCTGTTGAAAGCGCCATTAGATACGTCAATACCCCCCCCCCACTGCTATATGCTTTACCTTATCCAACGATTCTTGAGATAGACTACAAGGCGTGACAAACGACCTTTTGACATACTTCTCTATGATCCAAAGATCACGGTCTCCTCTATCTGAAGTTGGTGTGATTCGGAAGGATTCCATATCAACAGGCACAGATGCTTCATAAATGCTATTTCCAACAGTGTTGCCTAGTCGCAGCATCACCTCAATTGCATCTGACTCCCATTTATCAAGCACAATAGATCGCACCTTGCTGACATGAACACCCAGACTGCGATGAATGCCTGAACACTCAATGCACACAATGATTCCTAGATTGGTGCAGGCCCATTCAGGGTCTTTGACCCCGCAATCTGCACAGCGGTCGTTTCCAGGTACCATTCTGATCTTTTTCAACGCTTCCCGTTGTGTTTCCTCACTTTTCTCGTTGTCTTTTTGTGTCTGATTCAATGTCGATGTCTCCAAAATGCTCTGTAATTATGGATGAGTTTCTCAAATGATTGCAGGCAGTGCAGTGCGATCAAACCTTTCGAAGATTGGGTGATTGCTGTGTATATCTTGGTGCATTGTTCGAGTTTAATGCCATTTGGCTAGCGGTTCGAATACTAGAAACCCATTCATTCATATCTTGCTCATTCTCTGCTTGTAAAACTATCACTCTAGAAGGTTCCTGAGTCAGTTTTCGCTTTCATGGAATACAAAAAGGTAGTATTACCTGTTGGGTGAAATCACTTCAAAGCAGAATCTTCGGTCATAGTTATCAGTCAATTTGACGCTACACACTCGCAAATTATACACGTTGTTGCCATCATCATCTTTGGTGGACGGCTATGATGATACATGCTGAATAAACAATCAAAATCTGTAAGCTGTGATGAATTACCTTGGGATTTCGAGTAGTGCAAATCAATTCCCCATCAAAAATAGAATAGTACTTTCGAGACCAAGTTTGGTATACTCGTCCGTTCTTTCTTTCGAATAAATAGCCAGACTTGTGAGGGCTTGGCACTGCTTCACCTCCTACGTTGACTTTGGCGCTAGTAACAGGTTGTAAGGGATTGTATTGCTCGGCTGCATTCTGATTCAAAACTGTAAATATACCGCATAATTGCATACAATGCTAGCATATCGTACCTGTTCGCAAATTTGCTGATACACTAGGCCTTCTTGAACCTCTTCTTCATATCTTTGTCTAGACTATAAAGACACCATTAATTCATCCATTTGATAATGTATATATAATTCATATGTACATCATGCAATAGTCCTATTGAAAAAAGCTCAGGGCAAGGTCAAAAATAGTATAGAATTGCTTCAACATACCTGTCAGGTCCCGCATGTAGGGCTCCAGATCTTTTAAAATCTCGTAACTTTGATGATGGAACGCAGATTCAGAATACATGTATGCAAGTACCTTTTATAAGCATAGTATTAGATCAAGCGAAACCAGCCAATAACCATTACTTACATTCTCCATGTAATCTACTTTCTTTTTTGCCTCGATATCGTTCAATTTCGACACGTATTCCATATAAGACTTGTGAAATGTCTTCCGGTTATCAGCCAACTCTTTTGCAGACTATTCCAGAGTGTCAGCTTAAGGATGCATCTCCACACTCTCAAGCACAATCAAACCTCGGGTAATGTTGGATCTCTGGGTTTTTTGCTCATGTATTTCGATAATGCAGAATCCACATCGTCGCTGGATTTCTCGAATCTCTTTCTCAGTTCCTGTTGGTTGAAGTGTTGGCTCGATTTACTATGGATTGACTCTGTGCTCTGACTCACCTTTAGAGGTGCAACTGTGTTTCTTATAAATGCATCCAGTGGTGTGATGAATGTATCGACGACGTGCGTATTCTAATCACACAATTCTATTTTAGCGTCTCCATAATGAAATGCACCAAATATCTTCTTACAAGCATATTTCGACTCTTCTCTACTTCGAATACTGATTTGCCAAACTTATCCAAAGCTTGAGCTAGTAAAAGAAATCACTTGTTAATCATCCACCGTAAAGATATGCAACATGAAGCCAGCGTTACCAACAATAGGGTCATCTTGGGCTTGAGCAAAAGACATGAACTCGCGAGCAAGATCACTCTGCTGTTGGCTATAGGCTAATATTCAATACAAGGCGTCAATATACATTGTCTGCTGGCAAAACATGTGTCTTTACCAGTGGATATTTCGACCTGAGAGCGAGTCAGCTTTATTAGTGATTTCAATGAATGCTCAAAATTATGGATGGATTCTTCATGAGACTGAATACGCTTTCTGAAGGTTGGAGAATCGTCTAAGCAGCCTCGTATATCCAGTGCAGGCATAGTTGATTTATATAAATATTTAAGAGAAAACACAGATTCAAAGATGAGTGTCGTTGTTAAAGCTCACTTTGAATGTGGATGCAACATGTAACAATCAGTAGTAATACACACACAAATAGTCACGATACATGGTAAGTTTATTGCTTTAAGATGATGCATAATCGCTAGTGTCATAGTATTCAGGATATTTCTTGATCAGTTCATTCAATTCCTGTTGTTGCTTGACCAAGTTGGGTGGTAATTCGTCATAGACGTCCGTGAAGAGATGCTTCACTGCGGGCTTCTTTCTCTTTTCAGCTGCTGTGAAGCTAGTCATGATATCCTTTCTGACCTTCTTGCGATAGGCATCTTCCTCTTCTTGACTCCACCAGTTCTTGTTCTCCAGATAGCGTCTCAAACGTGTAACGGGGTTATCAAACTGGGCTCTTTCTTCTACTTCTTTTCTATCACGGTATTTTGTAGAATCATCAGATGTACTATGATGGCCGATACGGTAGGTCATGGCCTCGATGAGAACGGGCTTTTGCTCCTTGATGGCCATTTCTCTAGCTGCTTTAGTGGCATTATAAATGGCCCAGATGTCATTACCGTCGACACGGATAGTATCGATGCCGTAACCGATACCACGACTAGCAATACCGTCGCCCTTGTATTGCTCAGTGGATGGCGTGGAGATAGCAAAGCCATTGTTACGACTGAACAACGAGACAATCAATACATGCAAGGCAATCATCATTCTTTTGCCATCAAAACTTACCAGAAGAAGATAACGGGACTCTTGAGTGTTGCGGCCATGTTTAATCCGGCATGGAAATCACCTTCGGATGCAGCACCTTCACCAAAGAAACACAAACTGCAAGCATTGGCGCCAGACATTTTGAGTGCGTATGCAGCTCCGGAAGCTTGAGGAATCTGAGTACCCAAAGGAGATGAGATTGTTTGGAAGTTGAGCTTCTTGGAGCCATAGTGGATTGGCATTTGACGGCCTTTACCATAGTCCAACTCGTTTGAGAAGCACTGGTTTACGAATTCGTCCAAGGTGAATCCGCGGTAGACCAGCATGAATGCCTCACGGTATTGACCAAACACAATGTCCTCGGGAGATAATGCAGCTGCACTACCGATCATGGCTTCTTCGCCGTAATGAGTCATATAGAAACTGATGCGGCCTTGGCGTTGTGCATCGTAAAGAATGCCATCCATAGTGTGCAATAGCAGCATGTCTTTATAGCACTTGAGCACTTCCTCCTTGGGTAGATTGGGATCATGATCTGCGTTCAAAACTGTGCCTGTGTGATCCATTACACGGTATGCTTCCAGTGTTGGTTGCTTTTGAATAAACTGCATTGTGTTGGTGAAGTTGTCTGAGGCCGACCAAGTCTTGGCATTGCTTGAGGATGTGATAACAGGGCCATCAGGCTTGGGTTCTACAACACTAGTCGAAGCAGCCAGGTTTGATAACTGGGTTTTCATTGATTTTTCAGATAACGCGCACACTGGGTGTTCATGTAACCTTACCTTGGAAGAGACGGCAAACAGTCTCTTTTGCTGTTGGACAACTGGATTTCTCAACAAGAATCTAGCTCTAAGCATATCAGACAAATAAAGGGTGGTGAGAAGAGGGAGAGTGATTAAAAGAATGGGAAAAGAAGAGGAAGAAAATTTTTGATGCGATATTTGAGCTCTCAACCGTGTGAAAATTTAATTAGGCCTTCTACTTTGAGCTGTTCTCGTGGGAAAAATGAAACTTTTGTACCTTGTTTCCTCTTGTCATTGATACCGTTACTGATGTCTTTGATCATCCAGACTACTAAATGCTGCTGCACTACATCACCAAAGACTGCCTGAAAAAGTAAACCAGACCCGTTTTCGGTCATGCTGCTGGCGAAAGCCTCGTCTCTTCCGGCCTAATTCCCTGTTTTAGCTGTTCTGTAAATGCAATCTCCTGGCAGATGCAGTTGTTTTGTAGTCCATGATATTCTATGAGAGATACTGTTCGTTTTGCATAGCATCTGCTGGGCATCATTAGCAAAGAACTGGTTCGTCGGAGTTTCACAAATGCTGGGATCTGATAAACCATGAGGGTTCTTGATCCAGATGATGGATACTGCCTGACTATATCGAATGCATCTGCTTTCCTGATGAAGCTGCTAAAAAAAAAACTCAAAGAAATGAGCAGCAAAGCGACAAATCATATGTTACACAAACGGGCGAAAAAAAATGCAAAAAATATCGTCGCCTGCAGGATTTGAACCTGCGCGGTCAAAGACCATTGGGTTTCGAATCCAACTCCTTAACCACTCGGACAAAGCGACCTATAGTTGAAATAAAAATTACTGGTTATTTATGATACAATAGCCAAATTTTTTGGCTTCGGCCCGGAAAGCTGAAGTTGCGGCTTGAACAGCTGGAACATTCATTCCGGACTCCATAGTATAGAATCACTTTCAGGGCGACCCAAATGCATGAATTACCATCAAAAGGGCAACAAGAGACATATTTAGTCTGTAAGTATCTGTAAATTCCATACTAATGATAAGCTATGAAGCTTTTTTTTAGTTCTAGAGCGTAACCTGTTACTGAAGCTTTGACTCTCATTTTGAGAACATCCAATGCAAGTGAAATTTACATTATTAGCATTGGGGTTAGGACGAATCTTGGATTAGGCATCTTGCTTGATAGAGATTTCACAGCCATAAAGAGTAGATACGTTTACTTTTTATCTGCATTTGTTTATTGATTCATGAGTTAAGTGTATTAGCCAATGTCCAGATTAGCCTTTGTATGGCTGCTCTAGCTTTTGCGACTGATATCTTGTCAAGACGATAGATTCGCGGCAATATGCTTCCGTAACAGGGCCATAATAGCCCCCCTTTCTTAACAGAGATTTGATGGCTTCTTGCTTGGTCCAGCCTTGTTCTTCCATGACTTCAGGTAGATAGGTAGCTGTTTCCTTTTCACCGTCTGCATTGACAAATTCAATCCAAATGCCATGAATACCAATTTCCCAATCAAGATAATCATCGGCTATCTCAAAATCTGTCAATAGTGATACTGCGCAAGTCAGCACAGGAATCTCGGATAAAGTAATTGGTGAGAAACGGCGATCCTGAAGAGCACTTGATGATGATAAACAATAGTGAATATACTAGCAATCGACATATAGGTTTATCTACTCTACCTGACTAAAGCGTATTTTGTAAGTCCTGTGTGTAGGGGCATAGGGTTGAAGTTGCCAATACAGCCTCTCAATTGAAGCTCGTTATCCCTAGCTTTTTTGTGCCAAGTTACAAATAGAGGGCTATCCGAGATTAAGTATAAAGCAATCTTATGGTTGTTAGTTACCCTACTTACTAACTCCCATTCGAAAATGTCGGCTTTGGTAATGACTCCTTTTTGAGATGAGCAATCAGGACTTTAAAGCAGTATTGTACGTGTTCTTCAGATACGATGGATGCCATTTATACCGTAGGTACAAGTAGAAGAGAGAAAGAAAGCAAAAAGCCAACATCTGGCATTCAAAGTAAATTTATTCGTTCATCATGCGCATGATTAAGTTTATTCCCAATCACTATCACTATCCTCTTCATCGTCTGATTTCTTCTTTTCTGCCTTGACCCACTCATCCTCAGTTTGTGATGATTTTAATGGGGGTGATGTGGTGGAAGATGCTGGCTCGGAGATATGACTGAAATCGTCAGTGTCTTCAGAATTTGATGTGGATGTTCTAATCTTTGATGTATCTGCTTCTGCTTCTTTGCTGGTAGACTCATTCTTGACAGTGGTGTTGTCTTCATCGTCAGAATCCCACTTGAAATCTGCTTCATCGTCTTCCTCTTCTTGTGCTCCTTGAACGATCAGTTGTCTCTTTTGCTCGTCTTGATCAATCTTCCAAGCGTGATAAAAGTAGCGTTGCCAGAATAATGTGTAACTCACTTGCACAGGTACTAATCTGTCCATTGTCTCTCTCAAGTTGGGATAGTCGTTTAAAAGTTGTGCAATTTCGTCGGTATATTCCTCAATATTAAAGCTAGAGTTGAATGTATCCAGAATCTTCTTCTCTTGGTCATAGTCCTTCTTTGAAAGTTCAGGCTCTTGTAAATAAGTGTTGTCGTTTGTCTGCATCTTAGCTATCAAGGCATCTTTACGAGTAGCACTGTAGATGGGCATTAGTCATTGGGCTTTGATACTCACGGATATACTTTACAAAATACGGGGTGATCTGCTTGTAGTTTCTGTGGCTGTTGAGGCAGAAGCTGCTTGTTTCTCTGGCTCCAATACAGTAACTGTGTTTTTCAGTGCAGAAACAACATCTGTGCCAAATTGTTGAAGATAGTGTTCAGCTGATCGTGTGCCGTTAGCCAAACCCTCCTTGAGTTGGGTTAAATCCATGTTTTCTGGTAGTCTTACTGAGGTGATTTGGTTTGGTAATGACTGATTCAATGTTTGAGTGAGTCCATCGCGCAAGCTGCTGAAATTCACAGTGTTGATTTTGCTAAGACTCTCACGGATGGAATCAAGTGCAGAGTGCTCGTTTTCAGAAGTTGTTACTTCTCTGCTAGTTCCCGCGTCAGTTGTAGCCTCATCCTCTTCAGCATCTTCGGTTAATATTTGAGAGAACTCTTGCAAATCCTTCTTGGTTCCTTCAACAAACGCTTCGCTCTGTTGGTAGCATGAGTATACAGTACAAGAAGCACATATAGCTCAAGCCATCAGCAACTCACCTGCTTCTTTACAGTGTCAACTATGCTAGACCACTTCTTTCCCCAGCCAATGTTGCTAAATGCTTTGATGATAACATCATCTTCTTCGGATACAGCTGCTGGAGCTTGCTCTTTGTTATTGCTATTTACTGCAGAAGCAGCATACTGATACATGTCATCCATGTTGGCTATGAAAATCAACTTTATCAGAAAGAAAAGCAGTTTATAGGGAGATGATTATTATGGGGGAGTTTTAACAAAAAGGCATGTTGGTGTAGTAACGGGTGACTCTGATTTGCTCACATGCACATTCTCTCTTCATCCATCAATGAAGTATTGATGAATAAGGAGACCAAAATATTGCAATACAAATGCCTATAGGTATTCTTCAATCTAAGGGTAGCTGCGCTCAGCATAGCCAAAGTTTTAGCCTCGTCGACTATGGCTTTAAGGCGCTATAGCCATTCATGCATTGTCAAGGCCAACATTTGGCCACGAGGAGGAGCATCCAATCTCTGTATCACCACGAAGATGATGATAACATTGGATGATCTATTATATGAATATCTTGAATTACGTTGCACTGCTGTGCATGGCAACTTTTCCACTTTGATACCGTATAATGGGATTACCTTGAAACAAATCATGGCATACATTTTGAAGCCATAATTTCAAATTTTATTAAGACGATAGTGTATAAACCACCACATTAAGCGATTTGTGTATCATTTTCTTGCTCTTTTGCTTCTGTTGTCTCATCATATTCAGCATAGGCAATGCCTGCTTTCAGAATTGCAGTGCAGCCTGTGTAGAATATCTCTGCAAAAAACTGATGCACCTCGAAATACTGGTCCATTTCGATAGCCTTTGCAATACCAGCATTTGTGAGGTTACTTGTTCTTTCGCGAATAGAGCATGTTTCATCGATTTTTGAAAAGCCAATCTTTGTTATTTCGATAAATCTTGACATCATTCCTACCCAAATGAACACATGTCAATGTTTGCTCGGCACAATTTGCATATGAATATATCGTACCTGGAATCGAGCTCTTCTTCAAAGCGACCGCACTCAACACTGCGGCATGAATAATCAAGTGAGAGAGGCCACCAAGGGCTTCTTTTTGGTTTACGTCTGACAAGTTTTTCTTTGCCTGATCGTCATGTAATACAAGCCCACTTCTCCTTTTGAATTCTGTGAGTTTTGCTTCTAGGGATGCTTTCATTGCTGGATCAGAATCAACTAGTATAGTAGAAAATGCAAGTATGAGACGCATAGAAAGACAGGGCCTGATTAACATGCAGATCTACTTACTTGGTAAAGATGTAAGAATCTTGTCCAAACCCATCATGTATAAATCGATGGAGACTTGTTGATTCTTCCCATTGGGTGCGTTGTTCATTTCAGTTGCCATTTGTATCAATGAAATGCCTTCTGAAATCTTTTCCTTGTTGAGTGGTTCTTCTTTAGAAGGTGTTGCTGTGTACGGTGTAGGCGCTCGATTGCTACTGCTGCCATTGCTGCTCGAAAAGCTTGCTCTCTTCCAGACGTAATCAGATATTTGAGTCAATCGAGAATGCACAGCAGGCTCATTTTCGTAGGGCGGTGGTGGTGTTTCAAGATCTGAGCCTTGGCTATGGCTTCTCTTACGATACCAGCTTGTGGCATGATTGATGGGAGACCCTACAATCGGCAACTTGTCAGCATTGTTCAAGACAAGTGTAACTAAAGTAGTCATTTTTCAAGTATTATCGAGAAGAAAGAAAGAGAAAAGTAATGGCCCAAGGTCAAAAAAAGGGGGGGGGGTTATGAACCTTGTACGCCACCTTGAGTCGTTTCATAAATTACAAATGATGCAAGGTACCAGCAGCAAAATCCTTTTACTATTAAGCTGAATAGGCCAACGCACGTGAAAAATACCCAATCGAAGCATCTGATGTGTTGTTTTGCGAGCATTTGATTAAAATTTTGTTTTTTCGGTGGGAGTAGCACATTCAATTTAAATTATTGGATCAATGTAGCTAGGAATGGTTCTAGTTGTATCACATCCTATTTATATTGGCGCATACTGTAAGCACTTTCTTGTTTACTCGATGTGCGCCTTTGGTACGAGCTTTTGGTCAGAAAATCGGATACTACAGCCTTGTTTGTGCTTTTCTGTTTGGTTATGAAACGATGCATTTTGCTCATGTTTATAATAATGGGCTAAGGAACAATTGCAGAGTTTAATTTGCTATTGTTCGGCGAGTGTGGAACGTCAAAATACTTGGCTCAACCTGTAAATGTTTCATACACATCAAGCATTCAAGTAATGATACCGTCGTTTACTATTGTTGATTTGGATAGCAACTTTGTTTGTTAAACCCAAGGCGGCTTTCTTTTACTTGAGAGAAGAAGGTGCGATGCGGTAGTAGATTATAAAACGACAGAAATTGTAGCCTTTGAAGCTATATTCTCCTCCGGAACCATCAAAAAGTGCTACATTACACAGGACAAAATGCATGACAATGCTGTGCCCCAGGTGGGCACATTTGTCTCTGTAAGATCAAAGCATTTTCAAATCAGATTACGTTCACCTGATCTGCTTCCCGATACCTTTACCTAGTTCTCTAAG